CCCCCCCCCCCCCTTTGAAATTAGCACGGCCAACTTTTTTGATTTGCGAAGGAAGGTGCTTCTGGAGAATGAAGGTTGAACGTGATCCTTTCTGAAATTTAGTTGTTCAACGTAGGTATCACACACATCTACACACACACGCACACACCCCATTCCAAACTTTTCTAATGTCCCTTGACGTAGCGTTGAGTTGACCCTAGTGATTGCGTTTGGTCAAATGTGGGTGAGAAGAAGCTGGAAGTGGTGAGGGAACCCTTCCGAAGCTCTTCGCCGCTCTCCTTGCCACCTTTGATCGAGTTGCTACATTCTCCAGTTCCTTCTTTCTCTGGGTGGTTGAATCTCCACTCGACGTATGACCCACGGTCTTCGTTTGGCGATGCCATCATCCCAAACGGCCCACCCTTGGTGGAGCTGACGACGTCCCTCTTTCGGACGGCCCGTGGAGATACGACAATCCAGACTTTACGTCGGTGGAGCGAATCCCTCGGAACGCCGCGCCCCATCCGTCTGGGACGCTTCCCACATCCCCTTCGAATGGCGTGACTGATTTTTCTCTGGAGGTCGCCAAACTTCCATCCCTCCTTTCGCCGTCTCCTCCCGAACTATCTGTCGAGCAAACCTCGAGCCACCCTGGACGTATCTTACACACTGACCAGACGACCCCCCTGGGTCTCTTGGTCCCCCTTTCATTCAGGTTGGAGGTTTTTGTGATGTCGTGGTTCGGAGCAGCGGTGGGTCCTTCTGAGAAGTTCAGTTTAAGTTCTCCTGGACGGTTGGTTGGTTGGTTGGTTAGTTGGTGTCTTTCGGAGCGAGGAGGAGACTTGGGCGAGACAGATAGAAAACATGTCAGTTTTGGGTGTCCTAAAACGCTGGCGTCCAAAAGCTCAGATTCGGGAACGAAAGGGCAGTCACCGCATCGTTGCACCTTCCGGTTTGGGATCTGGGACGGTCGCTTTCTTGCATGCATGCGGGAGTAGGGAGGAGGTGGGCGGGCCACCCTTAAAAATTGCCAGGATGATGACAACGATGATTATTATTCTTTTAAAGTTTTTTTGCTTTAATTTCCCGGAGTGTATTTGGTACATTGTGTGAATACTTGAAGAGGTCAAAACGGGATGCCCGGCCCTCCCCTTGGCTGCCCCAATTCTCCTCTGCCCCCCCCTCCCTCCTTCTTCCCTACCTATTTGGCATTGAGATGATGCTGTTGGCGGCGGCGTTGAGAGGGTTTGGGTGGGTAGGTGGGCAGAAACACACACCCCACCCCCGTGGCGAATGCCTCTTCTAAGGATTATAACCTCTCAGAATAGTTGTGTATAATTAAAGAAACTGTAAACTTTTTAAAAAATAAAATATGTATATACCTTGGCCGTTGGGTTGGACTGCTAGTAATTACTGCGAGCCCGGAATAAAACCCAGAGCACTTTTCTGTATTTTATTTTATTTTTATTTTATTTTATTTTAAAAGGGGTTGAAGGTCTGGAATGCAGGGAGTCCTCGGTTTATAACGGTTTGCTCTGCGACCATGGTCCTGAAAAAAAAAAAAAGGAGACTTATGACAAGGTCCTCACTTACTGACTGTTGGCTCATCGTAATGGTCACAGAATCAAAAATCTGGGGTGCATAGTAACCAACACATATCTACAATGGTTGGGACAGGGTCACGTGATCGGGGTTGGACTAGAAGACCTCCAGGGTCCCTTCCGGCTCAACATTTGTGACCTGCCCATCTGATTTCTGATAAGCAGTGTTCATGAGGGGGGGAAGCTGGGTTTGTTTAACGACCCGCGTGACTCCCTTAACAACTGGGGCAAAACGAGCATTAACACATGGGAGAAGTCAATGAACAGCTGCTTCGCTTCACCGTGGAAATCCTGGTTCCGATTCTGGTCGTAAGTGGAGGACTGCAGTTTTCCTAAAATACACGTACAAGCACAGCTACACCGGATTTACTATCAGCTCCCACCGTGGTTCAGTGTTTGAGACGTGGGTGTATTTTGGGAGGGGGGGTTCTTGATCGGTGGGCTTCGTGCATTGCCAAAAAGCAGGTGTAAAAGAATACCTTTTCTGCAGCCTAATACCATTTTTGGCAAAAAAAAAAAATAAATTAAATTATTAGAAGCCACCCAGGC